CCTCCTCTCTCTCTCTCTCTCTCTCTCTCTCTCTCTCTGCATATTCTCTTTTGATTTTGATTTTTGGCTTTAAAAAGAACTCTAAAAAGCTGGTCTATTTGATCGGTGTATTTGTGCAGGGCCATGGCCCCTTATGTTCTGGATTCCGATATTCTTGGCCTTCAAACTCTTGGGCACATCATGCGTGTCTCTCGCACTTGGGACTCTATCATGTCTCTGCTGCCAAAGGGTGGAGAAACAATCTGGGGTGACTTGGATTGGTCTCCTGAAGAGGGTTATTGCTGCAATTCACTGAAGGACTGTTCCAAGGCATATGTGAATCAGCAATCTGGCTCAGGCAACTCCAGTAATGGCAAGTTGGATGCCACCAGAAACGAGAAAGTCCACTATGGAAGGATCATCTCCTTTGGCAAGCTATCATCGCAGTTACCTTCTTCCATTCTAGAAAGACCTGACTCCAAGGTAACAGATTATGGTTCCTGTCTAGATTTGATTAAGGCAATGGGGACTATGTTTGGATACCTCATGAGTGTTGCAATGCATTCATTCCTCTCCTTCATCTGCTCCTCCTTGACTCTCCTCTTCCAATTTCATTGTTGAATTGTTCAAACCCTGCTCTGGCAACTTATTTAAGAATGTTCAAGGAAATCTTAAGTTTGTCAACATGTTTGATCTCCCTTCATAAATGGAGTATTTGAGAAGTAGGTTTCTCTAAACCGCCTGTTGAAGGCTTCTGTGCAGAATGTACATTAGCTTTTCATATGGGTAGGTTTAGCATCGGGATCCAAAAATTGGACATTGCACAGCAGCCCCCAAGGAAGGCATATTCTTCTTGCCAAGTAGGGCCTTTTTTCCTTTTCTTTTGGGTTCGTTTGGAGGGTGCGGAGGGGGAGGGGAGGTGAAGGGGAAGGTGGGGGGGTGGGGGGGGCGGGGGGCTCTTGCCAAATTGGACTTTAAAACTAATTCAAATTACATCACTGTTGAGTAAAGTGTAAATGGTAGGGTCTATTTTTACAAGGTATTTCATTTAGACATCTCATTCTAAACCTCCACAAGGACCCTCTGCCTCCAGCCTGTGTTGCAATGGAACCATCTAAAGTTTTTGTTTTTGTGTTAAGCACTAGGTTTTCCTCATATCATTCTCCATTTTAACTTGAATGTGGGATCATCAGAGAATTGATATTTGGTAAGGAAAATGTCATGAAATATGTCATATGTAGTTTGATATTCGTACGGAAAATGTTAATGAAAATATTATATGTGTGACTAAGAAAAATCTGGGGAACCATAAAATTTGGAGTGCATGGACAAATGTTCAAGGAGCATGACTTCATACGAGAAATCCTAGCCACTTATAACAGCATCACCTTGACTCTTAGGAAATTCAGGACTTGAGAATGTATCTCTGGATACAGTGGAGTCTTCCAGCTTAAGACAAGCTAATCTACATGCTCAAGATGGTCAGGATTGAAGATTGTAAGTGCACAGTTATCATCTTTGTAGTTGGAGAGAAGCAGTAGATCAGCTGGATGACATGAAGGGAACAAAAGAGGTTTTCCACTGCACTCCCCTTCCTTTCCCAGAGAAGAAAGTGGGAACCATCAAGTAAAATGACATGACCGCTGAGACTAACCATGTGATTGGAAACCCTTTGACTCTGAGCATAAGATAATTGCTTTGGACTTGCTGATATTTGGCAATGCTGTCTTTGAATTGGATCAGGACATTTGATGAACTGAATACAAAACCTCGTAATAATTGGAGAGGCAATAAAGATGATGATTATCCAGTGGTCTTGTTTGTTAAACAAGAGTCTACCAATCAATGAGAAGAAATGAATTATTTCATTCCTCTGATTGATGAAGCTTCATGGGCTAAAAAACATGTCAGTGAATTAGGGCTTGATTGCATCGATTTCATTGACTGGTGCTCTTGTGGCAGTTGAAGAGCGTCAAATAGCTGTGATTGAAAAACCTAGAGATACGTACCAAGCCCCCCCCAACGGGGAGGATAAATCAAATAAGGATCATTGACTACGTGGAACTTTCCCGTAGCACAAAAAGGGGTGATGTCCTCTCAATCTCTTGTGAAGTTGTCCCCTCGAGGTGCTTCTCGTCCAAATTTATGTCTTATATGACTGTCTTGGATTCAGAGATGACCTGATGTCAATCTCACTCTAATGGAGTCAAAGGGAGATCTCCCATGAATGTGACTTCTTATCCTTTTGTTTTCTCTAATTTTGCTAATAGGACCTCAGATTCTGGTACAAATAGAGTTCCTCCTTGGTGGGGGTTTTATTCACTGCTCATAATGTCTAGTCTCTCTAGGTCTGTTTCTCATGCTTTGCTTGCTGATTTACCTTTCTAAGTCAGTTGAAAGGAATAAAATTCCATTGCATTAAGGATTACATTTTTTGTAATATCAGGAATTCTTAGTACTGATTTCATATGTTTCTAGCTAGGATTTTTAGTTGTATTTTGCTAGAAGCCTAGAAGAACTAGATGAAAGCTTTATCATGAGAAAGTTTTTAACTCATGATTTCATCTAATGTGTAGAAAGGGCCTAAACATTTTTTGGCTGATGAAACTAGAACCAGTTTCTGTTTTTCTCTATTGCATACGGAATGGTGGCCTGCCTTTTCTCACGCTGCCTCTACCAAAAGATTGGGTATTTCTTTGCATGTGACTATCTTTATTTATTTTGAGATAGGACTTTGTATCTCAAAATATGATATTTGGTCATTTTATTTATTTATTGTGCTGTCTGATTACATGCATGTTTTCCATGGTAGATGTAATGCTCATGAAATGAATAAAAATTCCTCACTACATGACTGGTGAACTATTCCCATAGTTGGTCATCTTTCTTCCTCTTAGATTGCTATTTTTGGGGCAGTGTGCCAGAGTTTAGGGGCATTAGCATCCGCATCCGCCAGTTTCTTATATTTCAACATGTTGGCATGCTACTGATCAGGGTGCTAGAGTTTTAATTTGAAATAAAGACTTATATGTTCCGCTGTTTTATCAAAACTTGAGGGCTTGACATGGTACATATTCTTTGTTGGGAATGTGTATCTGAATCCTGCTATGTAATGGGCCCCTATAATTGTGTAGGTCTTTGATGAGGAGCTTTGTGCTGGCTCATGCAACAGGTGGTGCTGTTTGGATTGAACTCACCCACTGGCCGCAATTCATCATGTGGAGGAGAAGTATGGACTGAGTATCATGAGATGAGCAAGGAAAGCATCAGAGCAGTTGCAGAGGGGAAAGCATACACGTCTGGAAACATCGTGGATCTGCTGCGCTTTGTTGCCCCCAGGCTGATGAGGCGTGCGGATTCTCAGTTCTCTCATGGAATTGCAGATGACTTGGACCACCCAACGTATAACCACTACAGATACTGGTCAAATCCGCTCGAGACCAAGTAAGTATGCATGCATGCATATTTCTGCATCTTCACAGAGGATTTGTCAAATTTAAGTTGTTCACTCCCTCCTCGCTACAAATCAACTCTATTCTCTTGGTGGTTGTTGATGCAGGCTGCCGAATGCTCCAGAGATGGAAATGTACTGCTTATATGGGGTGGGTATCCCAACAGAGAGGTCTTACGTGTACAAGGACTCGCCCTCTGACAAGTGCAGCATCCCTTTCAAGATTGACAGTGGGGCGAGTGGTGGTGGTGGTTGCCTGAAAGGTGGGGTATACCTGGTGGATGGGGACGAGAGTGTGCCGGTCCTCAGCGCCGGCTTCATGTGTGCCAAAGGATGGCGTGGGAAGAACCGGTTCAATCCTGAAGGCATGCCCACGCACGTGAGGGAGTACCGCCATCTGCCACCTACCAATCTGCTGGAAGGCAGGGGGATGCAGAGCGGGGCTCATGTGGATATCATGGGTAATGTTGCCTTAATTGAGGACATTATGCGTGTTGCTGCTGGTGCGACTGGGAGAGACATCGGAGGTGACAGGATCTACTCCCAAATACTCCAATTCTCTGAGCGTATTAACCTTCCTTTGTGAGATTGCCTTCTACCTCTCTGTGGATGAATTGAATCTGGAATTTCAAGTGGTTGGATGCCCCTTTGATTGGCTCTGCTGCAGCTCCACTGGCAGCATACATATACACATACAATGTGTTATTTCTCACTTCTTTTCTCATGCTTGTGGCTCCAGCCATATATCATGAACCCCATGTGGCATGTCCTTCCCTTGAAGAAATTCTCTTTGTTGTAACAGAGTGAGTAGTCAACGGAGAAGTTCCATCAGCAAGCAGTGGATGCAGTCGCTGGTTTTAGTAGAATGGAAAACACCAAGCAATCCACCCAAGGAGTGCAAGGGGATCCGCATTCCATACCATGCAAGGCATTAATGTGTACATCATTTACGGGAGCTTACTGATGAGTTCTCAGGCACCTACACAATGGTGCATGCAGCCTTGTATGTGTTGAGAAGCCCACTGGCCTGGTTATGGTTGTAGATTAATAAAACAGGGATGCATGCCCTTCACATGTTGACATGCCTTCTGTTTCTTCTTTTTTTCTTTTTCTTTTTTTGGGGTAGATTGATGAATAAGATGGATTGGTCATGAAGAACAGTTAGTGACTAGCTGGCAAAAAGAAAGAATAATTTCATTTTGGTTCACTTTAAAACTTTAAAATGATTTTAATCAATAGAAATAGTTTTTAGTTTCAAATCAATATATATATCTCCATTGAATCATTTCATTTTGGTTCACTTTGAAATTTAAATCAAAGTAAAAACATATTTAAATCTTTTCACTTTGATTTCTAATAAAAGGCCACCAGTATTCCCTTATTTGGTATTTTTACAAAAATTTCAAGCCATTTTGACTCCATAAAAATTATCTAAAATTCCCAAAAAACAACTAAAAAACATTTTTTGCTTTAGTTTGACAAATTAAAGTGTTTTGGGCTCTTGGAAAATCTTAAATGGAGATTAGGTACCGTAGGTTTTGGGGCTCTCAGTGTAATGACACTCCACACGGCTTACCCTGAAAGGCTCTAACAAGTTTTTCAAATCGACCCAACGGAACCCATAGCCCACGATGCCCACGATCTCATCCAATGGCTCATAATTGGTCCATTAAAATTGACCAATAAGTGGTGCAGTCTGGAGTCTAGTGAATTCAAGTTGCACCACCCATGACAAGTCCACAAAGCACAAAGGTTGTGGGGTTCCTCTCTTCAAGCACAAGTGCTTTCCTTTCAAAAGCACCTTCCTGGGAAGTTGGCTTCCGTAAATATGGCTATTACATGCAAATGCTTTGGGGATGCATTGTTGACTCTTTGCCCATGGTACCTCCCCACAAGCGCACAAACAGACTATCTCTCGGCCAAAACCATGGGTATTCACTGAGGGACAACCCCAACCTCATATACCACATCTCAATACTGCTGGATTTATGTGGCATTTAAAGGCTTATGAGAGCTTGTATAATAAGTATTGTATATAGTGAAACATAAATTCAAGGGGAGTGTAGTCATTGTGTGGATCATATTAGACAAATGCTATTTGCTAATACTTGGATTAGGTTTGACGTGCTAAGTGAGCTGAGTTGGAAAAACTCAAGGTACCTAGGTATAAAGATAAAACTAAGAAGGGTTTAGTGGGTTAGCCCTTGATGAAGTCTGAGTATGCCTGGCTGAGAGTTCAATGAATTGTGTGACCCTTGTGTGTGATGAATAACCTTTAGAAACATGGTTAAAACCTCATCGTTGTATCATCACACGACATCTACATAGATAGATGTCTCGAGATAGTGATCCACCATTGAAGATGAAACGTGTACATATATGAGAGATTACTCCTATAGACCATAGAGTTGTGGTTGCATCATGGTCTAGGGGACAATAGATTTGTCTCTAAGGGAGAACTTGTAATTCACATATTGGAATTGCATCTCCTAGTTTATTATTTGACTTTAGTGGTCCAATCATGAGCCTTTGCGGTAAACTGTGGGTCATGGGAATTGCTGGGTCAGTTTGAGAAAGCTAGGTGGATCGTGGTCTGCAGTTGAAGTTGGAGTGCTCGAGTACATTGATAAATTCCTAGACCTAGACGGACCTGATTCCCATTAAAATTAATTAGTTTTAATTAATTTTATGTATATGGTTTTTATAATGTTTATTTGAATTTTTGTGAATCTTATGATATTTTAATTTTGTCATTTGGAGTTTTAAATCTAGAAAAATTCAATTTCTAATGTTTTAAATAAACTAAGAGATATAAAAATCTTAAAAATAAAAATTAATATTTTCTAAAAATATGTAGGACCCTTAATAATATTTGGAGTCCCAATTTTTACATGTGGGCTATTAGGTGGGGCCCATGAGAGGCCACCAAAGGGTGGCATGCCCCACTCATAGAGATTGCTCTCTCTCCATCTAAATATGATGAGAGGATCTCATATTAGTTAGCTTTCCTTTTGTGGTGTAAAGCTTACTTGCATATGGAATGAAATAAATGGCTTTTAGAATGTCTTGTGAATCAAGAAAGTTTGATTGAAAAATAAAGAATGAATATTTAATAAAGTAAATAGCTATTTTTTTTATTTAATTTATTTGATGGGAATAAGTTTAGGAAGGGGAGAATAAGATTTTATTACATTCTTTAAAATCTTGATGGTGGATCAAAAGAATGGATGACTCACATCTTGCACCCCACAAGACTTCTTAGATCGACGGTGAAGATTTAATCATACAAATTGATGAACCCTAAGGCATAAAAAATCTATAAAAAGGGTCTATCCTTCTCTATCAAAATCTTTACAGCTCTTCTCTCTTATCTCTCTCCAAGAATTCTAAAGGGGGCACATTCGATCCTATAAATTGATGGCAAATCCTAAGGCATAAAAAATATATAAAAAGAGTATCGCCCCCTCTACCAAAATCTTTATACCTCTTCTCTCATATCTCTCTCCAAGAATTCTAAAAGGGGCACTCCCATTTAGGGCTTCATCTCTCTCTCCTTAAGTTTCAAGAGGGGGCATGCCCCAACCTAGACTAATCTCTTTGAATTCTCAAAGGGGCACCCAAGCTATATTTTCTCTAACTCTCTTGTGGGTTCTAAGGGGTACAACCTAGCTTGAGATTGGATCTTGATTTGTGGGTTGCTAGTAGATCTCTCCCTCTTTCTTTGATTTATATCTCTCATCTCTTTAAAGATCAAGCTAATGAAGCTTGATCAAGACTAAGCTATTGAGGCTTCAGGTAGTTGTTCTAGATGGATATTCATATGCTATTGAGAAGGTTTTACCATAAGTAAGAGAATCAAGAGACCGATTATAGATCTTGACCACCATCAGAAAGGGGAGACTCGTCGTGGGGTGTACTAAGCCCGGTTGAGGTAATCTTCAACAATTTTACTTTTTTAAATTTTATTTTTTGTGTTGAGCTCTTCTATTTTTATAAAGTAATGCGTTAAGGTTTTGATTTAAGGAATTGTATTAAATAGTGGTAGCAAGTGAGAATTATGTTTTATTTATTTATTTATTTGTTTGTAATTGGACATTGTGAGTGGTATTGCCGTTGTAATAATAAGAAATTTTTTTATTTATATATACCGTGCTTGATCACATAGTCCAATTCTCATTGGTATCAGACCTAGATCTACTTGCTGCCCTATTTTCTTTATTTCGCTATTTTTTGTGAGTTGCGAATGAGATATAAGAAAACAAAGGACTTTTGTGGTCAAGTGATGCACATCCGGAAGAATTATTGGCACGTTCAAACACCAAGAAGGCACTCTGCAGAATCGAGTATTCTTGTTGTTTTGGAGCACTGATATGAACAATATAATAAGCTATTTCTTTGATGTATACTTCAGTGATATTATGTATTTTTTGAGAATAGGATCTACTTGCAAAATTTCAGCGGGAGATCCTTGGAGAACTGAGAGTTATTGCTCATCAATGAAGGGTGTCAGTTCTGACATTGCAAAATCCAGGAACTATCCATTGAGTTCCGTGGATTTTTCCACCAATCATATTATTTTAGTTTTAGCTGAAATTTGATTATATCTCATCAAGTTGAGTCTACTTTAAAATAAAATTAGTTTCATAAATAAAATCCTTGTGGTTTGAAAGATATGGTCATTTATTTGAATGGTGCACAAGTGTTGTTTTCTGCAACGAAAATTGTTTCAATGACTTAGAAGTCATGATTTTATTTCCATTCTTAATATATGTTTTAAGACCCAAAACAAGTTTTTAAATTTCCATTTTGAATCTAGTTTATAATAAAAATTATTTGAGAGAGAAATATCCATTGGAAATAAGGAATAAAAATTTTGGATTGGAGAGAGGTCATCCTGAATTTTCAATAGTTTGGTGTTCTCATTTATATTTATCAAGCTTACTGAACATAGTGATATGAGGTCTATAGAGACATATTTGTTGTCATTCTGTGTCTACTTTCAAACAAAATAGATTTGAAAGGGAAACTCCATGAGGATAGCGAGGAAAACAATTTTACTAAATAGTATTCATCCTAAAATTCTACAGTATGATATATTTTGTGATGTGAATGTCAAATATTTATTTCTCTAAAGCAAATATTATTTGGAATTCATGTAATGATTGTATGCTTTGGTTTTGAGTTTATTTTTCAATAGAAAAAATTCACGAAGAAATATTTTGTAGATTGAGAGGAACAGTTATTTTATTGAGAGTTGCGCTACTTGATTTTCTGCTATAAAAATTGTATTGTGACATGAATGTCATTAAATAGAAAACTCACTAAATGAGGTGATTTAGAGATGCAATTGAGCACTATTTTGTATTTTTAGTGTATTTCAATACTAAAAAGTTTCAGAGATGAACTTTTTATGAGTTGAGAGATATCATATTTTTATCATGGGATGCTCATGTTTTATTATGCAATAAATGGAAAGATGTAGAATGTTAAGGAACATTTTTGTATTCCTCGAAGCCTTTTATGGCTCATTCAAAAAGGTTTCATAATTTGCCATGAGTATGATTTATAACTGTAAACTTCAAAGAGAGGTAATACAAGGTTAACGAGATATGACACTCTATGTGAAGAAGTGTTAAATCTGGGAATTGCATAATATAGAAGAAACACAATGCATTGAAATGCATCTTGGTTTCTTTGTCATGAAGGGATATGTAGAGAGACTAGGTGGTGGCATAGAAACTCTAAAGATCAGTGAAAGAGTTAAATTTGTGATCTTTGAAATGATGGGATGAAGAAGATGATTTCTTTATATATAGGAGAATCCAAAGACCGAAGATGTGGAAGCCTTATCAACATGTAAAAGTTGATGACTAAGTGTTTCTTCATCAATTTTGTGCTCTTCCAAGTTTACAAAATTTCGTCAGTAAGTAAAAGCAAAGAATCAAGAAAGCTCAAGTACCACACTACTTGATTTTGAGGTATGAAATCTATCCCACATTACATGGTAAGGTCATATAGAGAAAAATGATTCATTAACAATGGACAAGCTTTAATAAACATGTGATTCTTCCTATAAAAATAGTGAAGCCCACAAAAACCGGCAAGGCCACATGAGGGCTACACGTGTCAACATATATGTATGTGTTTATGGGAGAAATTCCTCTTACAAATTAACCTTTTTTTTTTTTTGAGTAGTTCTACGGTAGGAATTGAACTTGAGAACTCGAGATGTAGCATTGCTTGATATCAACTAGCCCCTTAGTTGGGTTTATGTGGCCTTTAAAGGCTTTATGAGAGCTTGTATGAGTATTTTATATAATGAAACATAAACTCAGCAGGAGTGTGGTACTTTTATGAACCATATTAGACAAATACGATTTGTTGATACTCGGATTAGGCTCGATGTGTTAGGCTAGCCGAGTTTGAAAAAACTCAAGATACCTGGACATATGGATCTACTGAGAAGGGTTTAGTGGGTTAGCCTTTGATGAGGTTGGAGTATGCCCAAATGAGAGCTGAGGGGCTGTGTGGCCCTTGCGTGTGATGAATAGCCTTTAGAGACAGAGCTAAAACCTCATTATATATCATTACACGACACGTACATAGGTAGTCGTTTTGAGATTCGTTAATGAGGGTGAGGCATGTACATGTGCGAGAGATTATCCCTATACACTATAGAGTCATGGTTACATCATGGTCTGGGGAGACTATAATTTTTTTTTTCTCTAGGGGAGAATCTGAAATCCATAATTTGGGATTGCATCCCCTAGTCTATTGGCTGACTTTGATGGTCCAATCATGAGCTCCTGCAGTGGACTATAGGTCATGGGAACTGCTGAGTCAGTTTGAGAAAGCTAGGTGGATCGTGGTCTGCAATTGAAGGTGGAGTGCTCCCGTATACTGATAAATTTCTAGATCTAACGGATCTGATTCTCATCAAAATTAATTAGTTTTAATTAAGTTTTATTATATAATATTTTTAAAATAATTATTTGAATTTTTATGAATATTTTGGTATTTTATTTTTTTATTTGGATTTATAAATTAAAAAAAATTAAATTTTCAATGGTTTAAATAAAATATAAGATTTAAAAATTCTAAATACAAAATAAAATATTTTTTAAAATTATATGAGAACCTCCATAAATAAAAGGTTCAATTTAGAATATGTCGGATTGGGTGGGGTGCATGTGTTGCCACAAAAGGGTAGGAATTGAACTAGAGAACTCGAGATGTAGCATTGCTTGATATCAACTAGTCACAGAAGCCCGAACGTAATTCTTACAAATGAATTATTTTATTATTGAAATGGTAGTGAAATAATTTATTTTATTTTTGGTAAATAGAAGTCACAATCAATCTTGATTGCCTGATGTGAGACTAAGTGGCTAAATTTATTCCATTCGCCAAGCTCGAAGTTGAAAAGAAATTTTGTTAAACTCTATGCCTGTCAAATTTGATGGAGATTGTCCAATGGTTCCCAATAGTGTAATCTATGTGGAGAGAGAGAAAGAGCGAGCAGAAGGGTGATGCGAGGGAGAGCACGAGCGATTGACTATTAAAAAGGATGAGGTTCAGAGGGGATTGAATGGGGATGGACGAGGTTCTCCTTCCAAAGTCGTAAGATCAATTTTTGGATTGCATGTTCCGATGGAACGTGGACTGACCAACAGCCTACATTTAATTATTTATGAGTAATAATAATATATATGGTTTGGTGGCGATGGAGGGAGGGGGATCTGGAAAAGGTTTGATTCGCATTTGCTTGAGAGAGGGGTACCAGTGGTTGGCGTGTTCGCGTTTTATTATTCTACATGCTCCTGCTCCTGCTCCTGCTCCTGCTCCTGCGCCTGCCACTGCCAAGAGGAGTGAGTGGTCCCCTCCACCTCGGACATCACCATTGCAATAGATGCGCACACACTACTGCCTGTATTCATGTGTTGCTTGTAGAGATAGAAATATCAAGGGACCAACCAGCCAACTGACGGGCACGGCAGTCGTCGTGAATTGGTGGTTTAGGGTTTTGTGTGTTGAGGATAGATGCGTTTGTGGCGTGGGTGAGACAGAGCAAACAGAAAGGTGTGTTTGTGCGGGATGGGTGCCACCCTTTCGAGCCTGACGGAGAACAGCGCAGGAGGAGGAGGAGGGCGGCCGCCTGGGCTGGGTGACATACCAGAGAGTTGCGTTGCGGGCGTGTTGAAGTACCTGACCCCTCCTGAGATTTGTAACCTGGCACGCCTCAACAGGGCCTTCAGGGCTGCCTCTTCCTCTGACTCTGTCTGGAACTCCAAACTTCCCCCCAATTGGCAATTTCTTCTGCAACTCCTCTCTACTCCTCAAACCCAAGCCCAAGCGCAAGCCCAAACCCAAGCCCCTGCCCCTGCCCCTGCCCCACTTACCGCAAAGAAGGATATCTTCGCCTTCCTCACTCGCCCCCTCCCCTTTGACAATGGTACCAAGGTACTTATCATCTCACCTACACACCTACCTAACTAATGCTTCTCTCCTCCTCATTTTTGTTATGTTTTTCATGAGATTCTTGTTGTGTTTTTCATGAGATTGTTTTCATTTAGATTCTTTTTCTCCGTGCAACGTAAAATTACATCAGTTTCAAACCACCCATTACTCTGCCTCCTCATGCTCACTCCTCTTCCCCCTCGATATCCACGTATTAGCTAAGCAGCACGAGAAAGGCCGGCACTTTTTATCTACCTACTTTCATTTAATTAATAAAATGAACCCTTAACATTTGCCTTTCCTAAACTGTTTTTGAGAAATTGCCTTTCCTAAACTGTTTTTGCCGCCTCAATCAGAATGTTTTTCATAAATAAATATGACCACTGCACCTTGCTTTCCCTGAACCAGAATGTATTGTTTTCTTGGAGGCAAAGGAGATGGTCGGACTCAGCATTGCTTTTGTTTTCTCTTCCCTCTCAAATTCATTTCAGCCCCTTCTTTTGTTTCATGGTGCAGATATCCAAGCGGGTTGCTGTAGGGTCTTTGAAATTTCTCAGAGCATTTTTTTTTTATTAGGTTAAATTGTTCAAAGCTTTAGCACTGGTGGGAAGACAATTATTGTATATTTTTTATTTTTAGGGGCATCTGTCCAAAATTTTTTTAGTTGTTCTGCTCCTTGACCATTGCAATTTCTGTCTACAAGTACTTTATCAATCACCAGGTGAGGTTTTGGTTTGGTTTCTATCCTTGTCAGTTAGAAGAAATAAGAAAGAAAACAATCTATCTCATTATTTTTATTTTTATTTAAGTCGTATCTCACTTTGGTTAATAGTAGGTATGGGGTATTTTTGTCATCTAAGCAAGATGTTGCCTACTTCTGTACATGGTTTTTTCTCTCAGTTTCACTGACTCATACCTACTCCAGTTAGTATGGCTGGAGAGAAATACAGGTGCAGTTTGCTTGTCCATTTCAGCAAAAGCCATGTGCATAACAGGAATTGAGGATCGCAGATATTGGAACTTGCTCCCTACTGAGGAATCCAGGTAAAACTTTTGACATACATGTTCATAATATCCTACTTATCGAATGTTCTTCTCAAAAAAATATCCTACTCATCGAATGTTCTTCTCAAAAAAATATCCCACTCAGCCAATGTTTGTACTTTTATTTATTTATTTCCATTTCCACACAATCCTACCTATCTATGAAGTAGAGTTGTATGCTTGGTCGACCAAAAAAGAACAGCTTGTTGAAGTTTGTCTTTCTGTGGTTCGAAAATGACCTGACAAAGAAATCCCACTAAAATGATCCATTGCCACCTGAAAAGGAAGAAAACAATGCCCAGTCTGACCTGGACTTTTCATAAATTTACTTTCTCCCAACAGAAATATTCATGGTTCATAGAAAAGAAAATCAAAGTTTGCACAGGATGCAGAACAACATGGGTATAGCAGGAATTAATTTGGGAACAACTGTTTTTACTGTCTTCTGTTTAATATAGAAACCCATAAGAATCCGTTGTCACTGCATACTGATCAAAAACGGGGGAAAAAAGAAAGAAAGTAAAAACGATCTGTTGTTACTGCATAACACAAGGTTTTTAACTTCTCATCCATGCGAAATATAGACATAATAAGGGAACCAATATGACAGTCACATGATAAAAGTACAGTAATATTCAATTGCAAAATGATCATCATTGAAATATACTATGTATTTTGAAATTTAAGTCTGTTTTATCGTCATGTTTGTTTGCGAATTTTCATATTTTGATTAGGATTTTGGAATCTCCAATAGTTTCAGCTTCTTTAACCATCACGGTCTTTGACAGCTAAAAGCTTTGGTTGGCCTGGACCACAATCTCCAGCTTTGTGAAACATGTTTTTGAATTTAGTGGAACTATAGGATTAGTTATCGCAGCTTGGCCCTCTTCATAGAACTGGTAGCCAATATTACTAGATACCATCAGGTTATCCCAAGGTAATCAGAAGATAGTGGATGATGATGGGCCTCTATGCCATAAAAATGTGATAATTTTATCTCAGAATGGGGTCTAGATTACCTTGAACTTGCTGTCATTAAGTTCACTGATGATTTTACAGCCAACCTAAAGTCTTGGCATGTTTGGATGACAAACAAAGTCTGCATAACCATTGCAGTTCCACCTTATCATTCTTATTCCTCCCATTATCTTACTTGAAGATATACAAATGCTTCCAACAAAAGGATCAATAAAAACTCTTAGGTCTCCAGTTAGCGGACCAACAAGTGGAGTGTCTCGACTTCTCCATTTGGCTCTAGTTAGCTGCTTTGCAATTGCTTTGACCGGGCAACCATTCCCACCTGTCACTTTCTCTTCTATGTCTAATAATTCTACCTCTATCATTTTGTCCTCTCTTTCTACCCCTGAACCAAATTCCATCTCATCTTCAGATCTTTACAACTTTTAATTACTCTCTCTCACTCTTTCACGTGTAACTCTTGTATCTCACTATCCCCCTCTATCTCCCCTCCCCTTCACAACCTACCACCTCGGTGCATCCTACTTCACAACTCCCTGGAATTTCTCTTTTTTTCTTCCCTCACCCGTCTACTCTATCTCAAGGTTTCTCATTTTATTAGCTGCCTAGCACTGAGTAAAGCTCTTCTCTACCCCACAACCCTCTTCTGGTTTTGGTGAACTTCTTTTCTTTCTCCTATCTCTTTTCTTTTACTTTTTTCTCCTTTGCCCCCTCTTGATAGGAGATTTCTTGAATTTCTGTTTGTACAATCTGAGCATCGGTCTGGTACCTTCTTTAATTTCTAAAAGTTGCAGAAATTTACAGCAAAAAGAAAACTAGCCCATGGGGTGAGAAAAAGGACTCAAGTCAATGCATGTTCTATTCATGAAAGGGGGAATGATTTAACCAAGGAAAAATGATGTAGGGACCAAAATACCTTGGTATATGAAGGTCTGAGACAGGAATAGAACCAAGCCTACAGTTCACCCAAAAGCTTCCTTTCAAGCTTTAAGACCAACTAGCAACATAGGCTCCATAATGGGAGAAATATAGTGAGAGGCTAGGGTTTTTAAGTTTAGCTATAAGGTGGATTAAATCTAAACCATTCATTTAGAGTTTTAAGGGCTTGGAGAGGCTTCGTCCTAGCCTTCCAATCTACACCTAACTATCATGACGTGTATCTTGAATTAGCCACCTTATCCTTACATATGACTGAGAAATCACTCCAAATTTGCAACTTAATTTAAGTCCAAAATGTAAGAAAAATACATTATCTAAATTGCCTTTGCCATTTTTAATGAAGTGTGAGAAAAAGCTTTATGAGGGCATGCCCCTCAAATGTATTAAAAAATACTCTTAAGTTCAATATGAATTTTGAAATTCAAAAGCTTTCACTCTCAACACCTCATCCCCTCACACATGTGGTGTCATAAGTTTATAAAAGTAAGCAATGGGAGAATGAAACCATAAAAGTTATTTTAGATCTAGGTCATCTATTGGTTTAAGGTTCCCTAAATCAAGGAATTTTTTTTTTCTTAAAAATCTCAAATCTTTTCTTAAAATATCTATCTTTTCTCAAAATATCCAAATCTCACACAAGCTCCTACACTTACACATGAATGAAAAGAATAAAAATACCAAAATAGTCCTCAGCAAAGAGAGGAGGACGTCCCACACATTAGGGCAGATGTCACCCACTCATTAGGGCCTTGGCTGATGTGTGGCTGATGTCAACAGCCACCTAGGTACCCCCATGGGGCCCATTGGACACCCAACAAAGGGCAAAGGTGGAATATTTTGACCAGAAAATATTCAGCAAAATTTCTAAAAAAATTAAAAAATTATTTCTGGCCTTTTTCAACATTTTTATTAAACGCAGGGCATGTAAAAAATTATATTTTGGGAGTAAGGATCCTTAAGTGGTTTGGTCTCACGGTTTAGGCAATCGACTCAGTTAGGTCTGGAACCCCCTGTCGATTTTTCTAATTTAGCCTAATGGGACCCATGGCCTGTAGTCTCTAGCAGGGGCTTCATGCTTGGCCCATCAATGCTAACCCAATAGGCAACTGGGTTGCTGACATAAAGTAGATTGCAGGTGGTCCCCCGAGGACATACACTCTTGGGATGTGGGGGATCTCTCTCTAGCACATGTGCATGTCCCTCCTCAGTGAATCTACTTGAGAGAGCACAGCTTCCCGTTATGCAACTGTCATGCACATGCTGTAAGTAGGACCATGGTCAGGGATTTGGCTTATGTCCCCTCGGAGCCAGTCCTTCTCACATGTGGCTCACAATCGCACACTATCGCAATCAAAATCCATATCCAAATACATACATAGCATCATAAGGCACTGGCTCATATCTCATGAGGCAATCTCACGAATCCTGATCAAGGAACACCCTCAAAGCCTTCTCTATATACTTTTCCCAAACCAAGGCTCATACCCTGAGGGTTTAGTGACTCTATGGACACCAACTTTGGATCCTAATTCTCACAGATCCGACAAGTCATACGTTCTCAATCACTCTCACTGTGACCAAGGACTATAGAAAATCTTGGTGTCAAAGCCTTGAAAAGTCACAATCCCATCATTCTCCCACTTGGCCTTTCGAGGCGTTGCGATATCTCATCACACATAACCATATAAGCTCATGCATGCACATATACATAGCCATTTAGATTTTATCTTTCCTTTAGTTCTCAACTTTTCTTAAACCCATACCAACAACATGCCTTGAAACCATATTAGCCACCAACTCTGTAATCATGAGGTCTGTGTGCATAGCCAAAGTAAGGATATAAGCCACTTCGATCTCTCTATCCTCTATCTCTTGTCTTTCCATTCGATATATGCCTATGTGTCCTAGGCGTAGGTGCCATAAATCCCAATCATCCATAACATCCGAGACATAAGCGAAAGGTGCCCTCATTTCCACTTCATAATGTCCATTGGCCATGTGGCCTACAAAAAGCACATCTCATCAGTGCCACCCTCACGCGCGTAGGCCTTGTTCCCCTTGAAGAGAGTGGGGAAACCGCCAAAAGCGAGTTTAGAAATTGAGATAAGGCTCTTGCACATGCTGGGTGCATAGAGGGTGTTGGATAAAAAAAAGTTCTCCCTATTAGGCAATCCCATTACATAGTTCCCCACACCCATTACATTCCCCCGTTGGTTACCCCCCATATGGATGTGACATTTTCTACACTCATACTCCTTGAAAGATCGGAATCCGGTTGTGGTGTTTGCCACATGAACAGTGGCACTTGAGTCATGACACCAAGCCCGGCTTTCCCCTCTAGCAACCCAATGACTACACAAACTCTCTCTTTCCTTGTGGCCAAACCGGATGCACGGCGAGCCCTATAGGTATCATTACGCGGTGGTGGTAAAGCGAGAGGAGGAGATGTGAATCGGCAAGTCTTTGTGGAGTGGCTATATTTCTCACATCGAAAGCATTGCACTTGGGAGATATCTTGAGGGGAGGCTAAGGGCCTCAGCCATAGTTGCCTTTACAGGCGGTCTAGTCTCATAGTGTGGCTCATTTTGTGGGTAAAAAGTGGGAGGTGGCCTATCCTTACCCTATCTTATTTTTCTTTTTCTTAGATTTACCTTTTCCCATGGCCTTAGAAGAACTAGGTGTTGAATTGATGTTTCCCCCAACCCCACAACCTAAAACACTAGAATCCACATTAGGTAAGGGTTAGGAATTACCATATGGACCAATCCTTTCGATCCCTCAAGCGAGTTGGCTCGCCTATCCTCCTTTGCCTCAAGAAAATACATGATCTCATTATTCTCTTGACAGCCCTCCAATGTCCCAATGTTGGGTTACATTGAAATCTTTTTATTAAGATCTTGGGAAAAGCCAAATCGGGTCTTGGTTGATACACTCATTAGGCCACAAATGTCTGTGTGGATTAACTCTAATAAGCTAGTTACCCCTTTGGACCTTTGGATGGGATTTCTTAGCGATTTTGCCTTGAATACACCCTCACATGGTCTTTTGAAATAAACATATGCATTTTGCCACAAACCCGTTTC